GGAATTGACTGGCTGTAATGACCCGAATTTAAGTTTTATATAGTTTAGGGAGCATAGTGTGAAGATTGGAACTTAAGGGGGCTAAATTGAAAATATCGTGGGGACTAAATTGTAAAGAAGCAAAGTTGAGGGACAGAAGTTGAGATTTTCAGAAAATTTGTTAGGAACAGTGGCCAAATACTATTCCTTGTCAATTCAGCCACATCATGCCATGATTTTGATCGGCTTTTAGCACATTTTTGCGTGTTTTTGAAGGGTCAACTAAACCCCTCGATCAATTTGAAGCTTTGGCCTAGGGAGAGTGAGAGATTTTGAGTTGAGGAGGGCGATGGAGGGTGCAGACGGTCGATGGATTTTCTGGGATTTTTAAAGCTTTTAGGGTGGCTTTTCCACCGATTGAAGAGTCTTCAAGGCTTGTCTAGATTGGTTCTGGAGTTTCCGAGTGTAGATCGGATTGGATTGGGATTTCGGGTTGATTTTTCCAGGCGATAGGGACGAACCTGAATGAGAATCCGGGTTCGAACGGGCTGGGCTTGGGTTGGGTCTGGCCCGGGCCAAAGGGGTTGGGTTGGACTAGGCCGGTTTAGGCCTAGTTCCAGATAGGCTTGGGCCGGGGAAGGCCCGAGCAAGTCGAGCTGCCCCAGCTAGGCTGGGCCAAGCCTTGGGCTAGGCGGGCGAGCCCAAGCTGGTGGGTCAATGGCTCGAGCCATGAGCTGAGCCGCGAGCCAAGCTGAGTCCAGTTAGTGGTTAAAAAAAAAAAGCGAAAGGGGTTTGACCAAACCGACCAGTGGATTTGACTAGCCAATGCAATGGTCAAATCAACTCGGATTTTGGAAGTTGGACTAGTTCTGGATTTATGGAGATGAGAGCTATCAGATCAAATGGGTTCAGAAAATTTTGGGTGGGCGGTTCGAGGTGAACTAGCCGGTTTAGTCCGTTGTCCTTCGGGTAACTGGTTCACCAGTTTTTAGGCTAGTTCTTGGGGAGTTTGGACCGGTTCCTGGTTCAGCACATCGAGACCTAGATAATCGTGTAGTTTGGTGATTTTTGGATGTCTAGTTCAAGGTGAACCGAGCTCAGGTTGTGTACTAGTGCTTAAGGTTAGGGTTTTTGGCTCGGTTCACGGCTTTTTTGGCCAGTTCAGACTGGTTCCTAGGGTTTTTGGGCCTTCTAAATCCAAATTTGAGGGTTTCATGGCCAATCTAGTTGAGCTTGAGGTAGTTTAGACCAGTTGGGGTCGATTCAGGAGTTTTGGAGGTCAATGCACTATGGTTTGAGGATTTTGGAGACTGGTTTCTTTATTTTTGAGGGTTGTTGAGCCGAAGTGTTGAGAGTTATGAGTCGCGTGGGTCTCGATGATGGGTAGTGGTGTCTTGGGATGCGTGCTATGGGGTCGAGATGGGAGTTGAGTCGGTTTTGGGCTATCGAGCTAATTTCTTATGCTGGTCTTGGTGATGGTGACGGTTTTGCATTGTTTTGGTTACGGATATGCCGGTGGAGGTGCATCCAGATCAGCGAGTCGGGTGAGGGTGATCGGGAGTTCCTTTTTGTTTAGCCCTTATATTATGAGTGATGATACCCTCTCTATGCCTGTGTTTTCATACTCTGATTTTCTGACATGATGATTATATGATTTAGAAACTGTATTTTGATTATATGATATACTCGGGATATGTGTTAGGTTAGTATGTGATACTTGTTTTGAGATATAAACTATATATGCGTATGTATATTTGTTTTGACTTATATGTGAGGATGGTATCGTGTGATGTGAGGCGGCAGAGGCCGCGAATGTGATATGCACTAGTGTGATTCCTCCGATCGTCGATACAGTGGGTTCCTCCAATCGTGAGAAGACGAGACAGGGGTCTCATGATGTGATACGTATGGGATGGCAGACTCAGCTAATGGACGGTGGGTCGTAGTGTGCGGGGAGTACCTTGGCCAAGTAATAAGATGAGTTGTATGGCTAGGGGCTCATCTGGTAGACGGTGTTCTACCGTAGCGTGTGGGGAGTACACTGGCCCAGTGATGTGATGTGATGATTGGTTATGTTGATACTTCATGTATGTGTTTTGATTATTACTCACTGTATATATGTGTATGTATGGTTTTGTACTTGTGGCGTGATACATATCCCAACATGCATAGATTAGGTATCATCTGTATTCATTGAGTTTCGCGACTCATAGTTTTAAACTTTCCAGATTTGGGTTGTTATCCTCATCTCGAATAGCGTGCTAGTGTGGAATTGGCAGCTGCTAATTTGATGGATGTACGAGTACTTCTTTTTGTATTTGTTCTCTATTGTATTCTAGAGTAACTTCTTTGTTTTAGTTGTTATATGGCTATACTTAGTGTATGTTTGAATATTCAGAGTTTGACTGATGTGTTGAGACTTATTAGGGCTAGAGACCTTAGTGTCGGTCACAGACCCGGGGTTCGGAATGTGACACTAGCTGCAAAAATTTTGACATGATCGCATATCACAATTCATTGCGTGGGCAAAATTGTCGGGACACCAAAAGCATGGGAATTGTTGTCTTCATGAAATTATCTACCAGCTGCTCAAGACTTGAAGCTAGCCACGAGTTCAACCAAACATTCCAACCAAATTAATAAGATAGAAAAGCACGCATGGCTACGTCGCTATCAATATACACCTTTCTAATGGCTTTTTTTTTTAAAAAAAAAAATTTCTTCGCCCTTTCTTCCCAACCGTGGATGTCTTCTTTATTCTCATGTTTAATCAGTAGGTAAATATATGCTGATTAAATGATAACTAGTCACTTCTTTTTTTTTCTTTTTTTCTAATAAGCTAGGGACCCACTTGAAGTTTCAAGTTTCAACCATGCTTGGAATATTCCAAAACAATTTTTTTTTTAAGGGTGAGGGAGGAAATATAAAATATTCATGTGGGTTGTGGATAGATAAAGATCAAAAGTAGATGAGGGGGACAAGCAACTGGGCAAAGTTAGCTTGATGTTTGTGTGTATTTATAGAATTTATGAGACTTTGTATAAGTAAAATAATTTTAATCCTAATCTCGATCTTAATTTTAAAGGTATAAGACACTCTTCTTTTCCGATTTACTTGAATGATACTTAATTTCATTTTTATTATGAAAAAACACTATTCTCTTGATTAAAATTGATTAATAGTTAAGTCTAATAGTGTTAAATAATAGGTTAGAGTAATTTAATTTAATTTTAATTTTCTTAAATTTATTTTTATATACTCACTTAAATATGTAATGAAATAATCATGCCAACTTTATCTAATTTACTCTCTCTAAATTTAATTGTAAAATTTTATTTTTCTAAATTTATTTAAATCAGCAAAAAATAATCCTTAAAATATCTCTTGTAAGATCCTATTTTAAAATTTGAAAAATTTTGTCATTTAATTTTTATATGATGTAACACTTCTTTTCTCATTAAAGATTTGGTTGGAAATAACAAGTGAGATAAAAATTAAATTTAGATAAAATAAATTTAATTATTTGACTATTTTTAAGTGAATATATGAAAATAAATTTATAAAAATTAAATTTAAATCAAATAAATTCAAAATCTATTATAATGAAATAAGTTTTAATTATATATTAATCAAAAATAAAAAATGAAAAATTAGTTGCCAAAACAATAAAATGGAAAAAAACTCTCTAGTGTATATTACAAAATCATTTTAGTCTGCTAATTTAGTTACCATTTAAATTAATAAAATTAGAAAAAGAAATAATAATCATTATAAATTTAAAATGGAGGTAAAATTCTTCAAAAACTATTGCAATGGGAAAAATTGTCAAACAAATGTTAAACGAGAAAAAATAAAAAAAAATAGTTGCTTAAAAAAATTTAAAATAAAAACATTTATTTGCAAACAGTTTACACAATTTATATTACAAATCCTATTTAAATCTAATAATTTAATTAATATTTAAATTAATAAAAAAAAAATCAAAGATGAGCATATTGTTTAACGCTATTAGACTTAACTTTTACTCAATTTGAGTTCAAAAAAAAGAAGTGCTTTCCTCGATATAAGGGTTGGGTTGAATATATTATTCAAGTATACGCGAAGAAAGGGCATTATTTTTTCACCCATTATCGTAATGCTAATCATTAAAGGAGGAAGAACTAACTGCGAGTGATGTTGACACTTGGAATGAGATTGTCTAATTTTCAACAAAATCAGGGTCAGTCAATACGCCGTGCCGTGTTCGAGCAAGTGTTGGAATTATTTGAACCAACAAATAGCTTTTTGCGCTTTGCCCCTTGTCATTTCCAAACATATTATGTAGGAAATACAATGCCTCCAAATTTACCCTGATTGTTTGAATATGTAATATAGAAAGGTTAAGCTTGTAAAGGAGACACGAATCATACACAGTATTCTAAGTTTTAGTTCTAATGTCAAGGCCTTGCTTTCTCGTGGAGAGTTGGGTTTTGGGTCCTACACGTTCCTCTATTTTTCAAAATTTTGGCCTCATTTTAACCTCCTCGCTCTTCAGAGAGGTTCCAAAAACGAAAGAAAATGGAACGTACTTGTCGCCCTCAACAAAGGCTTGGAAGAAAGAATGAGTTACAAAAGAAAATTAGAACTAATACAAGCAAATCAAAGTAAAAGAGACTACACATCTTAATCAAGAACAAAGTTGTTGCGCATGCCACTCTATGGACCCAAAGTTCTTAATCAAGAACAAAGTTTGTTTTGGAGGGTCATCGTGCAGCTTTGCCGAGAGAATCACAGTCAAATTCATGATCTTCCTGTCACAATAATAAACAATCTTACTGCTAATCATGAATTATCTCTATGCTGACTTGGTCTCTAAAAAAATATCCGGATGTCTACCATTGTTAAACAATTGTCAACTCAATGGAAGGTGAGCACGTGCAAAGTCAAAGATCTTTTCAGTTTTATTCTTTACGATCTGGAACTTTATATAGCTTGTTAAATTACATGCAATATATATACATATATGTATGTATATTTTCGAATCAAATGAGGAGGGACTCAGCAAAGGAATCCAACTGAACTTGGTCGTTATCTTCTGTCTTAAGAAGTTGAAGATACTCCTCGTACAGCTTTTCTAGGTTGGTGTCCGACATGGGAAGGTCAGTCTGGCACTTCAGCGGATCTAAGCCGTTCAAAATGTCAGGGTCTCGATCTCGATTTTGATCATCGTCGTTGATAAGGAAGCCTACCCCACTGTCATAACGTTCAGCATCCTTTTTAAAATTAGACCAGGGAACTTGTATAACTCCTTCGTTTCTAGGAGCCAAGTCGAAGCTGTTGTTCCTCGACAAAAAGCTCAGGGAAGTGATCCTAATAGCTTTCGGGTTGTGGACTTTCAGCTTTTCGGGCTCTACGTTGACATTAGACTTCTGCTTTTGCTTCCTGTTGTTGCTCCTCCTTCTCTTCAGTTCGCGTGCCAGAGGTTGCAACAGTTTTTTGTGGGTATTCGGGTCGGTCCCTTGGCTTCTCAGCCTCTTGCTAAGATGGGTGTTCCAGTAGTTTTTAATCTCGTTATCAGTTCGACCCGGTAGCCTTCCTGCAATAAGAGACCAACGATTTCCTAAAAGGGCGTGCATTTTGATAATTAGGTCATCCTCGTCGGGGGTTATATTTCCTCTCTTTATGTCTGGCCTCAAATAGTTCATCCACCTTAATCTGCAACTCTTCCCACACCGAAGTAACCCTTCATGCACCACACAAAGAGGGAGAGAGAGAGATAGAGAGAGAGAACAGTCAGTTCACTATAACAAATAGAAAGAAACGAAAAAAACTAAAAATGTGATTGTAAGTGGCATAGTGACTTTGACTTACCGGCTTTCTTGGGGAGAGATCTCCAACTGCCTTCGCCATGGGCCTGAATATACTTGGTGAGCAATGCGTCCTCCTTGGCGGTCCAGGGACCTCGGTGCAGCCCTACCTTGGCACAGCAAGGAGCCCTTCCCATCTCTCCCCCTTAACCTTTGGTTTCTCTCTCCAAGAAATTGGTCCGCGATACTTTTGGGGAGCCACGGGCAACTAATCACAACCTTCTTCCCCTTTTATACCCACTTCAGATCTAAACTTTTACGGCCAATTCCTGTGTATTAAGCCGTCATTGGCGGCCCCCATGACTGATATTACATTGGAAGTTTTCTAGCAGCGGGCAGGGTCCAGTAAGTTTTTGGTGGGATCATGAGTGCAAGTGTGTAAATTTCTCCAACTATGAATGAAGCAGGTGCATACCCACCATTCTCATTATCTACCCTTCTCCTTGTCAAATCCAAAAATTAAAACATGCATAGACATGCATGCACTAAGTTAAGCCACGTTTCTAAATTCCAACAGAAGTTGGAATAACATCCTCATTCTGCTGAGTAGAGAAAAGTCGCTTTCGTTGTGTGATGTGTGCACAAAAGAGACAGAAAATTTGTGGATCGGGTGTGAGTTTGCCTTTCAAGACGAGCATTTTCCCAAAACAAGTTATTGAATTAATACTCGCCCTTTAGCTAATTTTTTTTTTCACATCTTAGAGGTTTTTATATCTTTTTTTATTCAGCTGATTTATATTTTTCAGGTTTAATTAATGATTTAGATTTTTCTGAGAACCCAAATATGAAAAACACCAGACCTTGGTCAGAACCCAGTCAGAGCTATTGATGGATAGTAGAGGGAAGTTCTTGTTGAAATTGATAATGAGCAAGTGGGTGTTCAATGAACCAGTCATTGTCGTTCCTCCTTTGAATCAGCGGCATTAAAAGAAGTCTCTGCAGATGAAGAAAGAAGTTGGTGCTGCTGTCTAATTGGGAATTAAATAATTGGATCCTCTCATTCTCATTTTGCATGTAGCTATTATTGAAAGCAATAGAGTTTTTTCTTCTTTTATTTCCAATGTCACTGGCCAAGTTTTTAACATGCAAATATAGAAAATTTTGCCTGTTTTGCCCTCTGTCCCTAACCCCGTCAACTTTACTTCGAGTGTAGAAAATCTAACCTGAAATTAGACAAATTTAAGCGGGCGGACAAGAGAGTTAGGACGGGAGTTAGGTTAAAACTCCGTCTGGGAAAGAATGCAATTATGCAAATTCTCGTCTTTCTTTTGTAAGTTGGATTATTTTGTCGTAGAACAAAAAAGGTCGTTTAAGTAATATTGTGGGTTTCATTACTTGAATCTTTTTTATTTGGGTGTTTGATTAGGTACAAATTTAAAATAAAAAGAATTTCCCTTCAAGAAAAGAAATATGATTGAAACTTATGCTTTCTATTTTTATTTTTATTTTTATTTTTTGGTGCAAAACAAACAAACCCCTCTAAAGACAATTTTTAAAGGAGCTGGACTCTTCTACATTGTTAAAGAAGAAGAAGAAGAAGAAAATGCTTCTGTAAGTTGAACACATAATACCTGATTCATAAGGAAGTAATCTTTATCATTTTTCAAGAAAAAAGTGCAGTTTATAACATGGCGGCTACTAGGATTCCACCTTGTAAGAGCAGTACTTTCTTTTACTTTTCCGGAACAGTGTACACGGGTGATAATACAACTTGGCCTAATTTAGTAAGGGATGGAAATCTTATTCAGCTATTGTTTTTCTTTTAGTAATTTCCCGAAAGTTAGGAGAACGAGTTAGTGGACTTTTTGGATATTCCCAGGTCCAATTTCGCCGAACAAGAACAAAGACTAGGAGTACCATTGTACTAATCAAACAGCCCCTTTACTCCAGCTTTTCAGAGTATATAAAAAGAGCATATCTTATTATTATTATTATTATTATTATTATTATTATTATTATTATTATTATTTAAAAATCCAAACTCAATGCATTTCATCGCTATTTCATTGCAAGGTAAGTTTACTTCACTTCTGCTATTTCATTGGAAGGTAAGTTTACACTTAATTTGATATAAGAGGGGCTATACCACTCTTCTATTCAACAAGCTTTAGCCACCAAAGGCATTCTAGGATAACCAAACTATAAGTACATACCTGGAATTGGTTAATGATAACAAGGACCTACCTGAACCGAAGGAAAACTGGTTAACTTCACTTATGCTAAACAAAATAGATCTCTGATTTACCACTAGTTAGCAAGGCGTCAAAATGCCGATGGCCTCAACAGTAAGCACGAGCACAACAGAAGCAATAAACAACAAAATTAAAGGCATCGAAGCCTGCCCAGAAACATATTTTGGCTCACCAAAGAAGAGGAATCAGAGTTATAACTCAAAAATTAACCAAATGGAAGAATGAAGCCTCGAAGACCTCCTTGCCATGAGCAGAAACAGCCGACCAGCAGGCTGGAAACATGTCACCAAAGCTGTCCAATTGTCTGGCCACTAAAGCAGTGCACACGCCGACTGCTCACTCACAGTATGTCCATGCTAGAATTGTCCGAATCATGTTATCTCAATCAGTGGATATCAATTAAAGTTCACTGTTAGTTCTCTTCTGTTTGTCTGAATTTCTCTCTCAACTGTTTCTCACTCTCCTGCCAAATTCTCCTACCTTAACAAGGAGAAGGCTACTTCAGATAATCAATCCATTACAATTGATGAATAATGTTAATATCACATGAATGGCTCCCAAGAAACTGAAGAAATGTAAAGAAGATGAAACAATCAAGCTGTGCAATTGGGTCGGTCAGGCAGATAACAAAGGATTTCCTAGTGTGTAACAAATAAAAGAATGTAATTACAGTATCAATTGCCTAAATGCAACTAATTAGATTCAACCTCTAATTGATGTTCAGGCTGATTAACATTCCCACGAAACAAATGGCATTCACTTCCATCATTGCAAAATTATAGTGTCTTGATATCACCAAAATAAAGAGCCATACTCTCTTCAATCCTCCTTGCCATGGTCCAACGTCCGTAAACATATGTGAATTGGCGCTTTAAAGAAATTGCCAATACCAAAATTAGGTTTAGCACACAGAACTAAAACCAAGAATAATGTGTGTACCATTTTTAGGCCCAGTTCGGCCACCTAACTTATTTAAGCCCAAAATCCAGGATACGAGAAGCTGCAATGTATTGTTTTTACCTTTTGAGCTTATGCTTAGCTTTTATGGCCCAGAAAGCCTTAAATTTAAGATATTAGAGATTCTAGACTAGCTAGAAGGCCATAAGATAAGAAGTTGTAATATTCAGGGCTACTATGCTTCTAGGTTTTAAAATTGAATGCACAAGCCAAAAAGGTTTAGCAACCAAATAGTGATGAAAAGGAACCTCAAAGATACACTAAACCTCTAAGGTAGTAACTACGTGCCAGTAATCCATAGTTCTGAAATGATGTGATCCACCCGTCCCAACTTCCTGTCACAATCACTAGGCCCCAAGAATGAGGAGAACCAAAAATTCTCTGACTTGACATCTTTAGAAACTTGTACTGGGATTTATATATGAAAAATTAAATGAGAGGGGAGCTCAGAGAGGGAAGCTTCTCCCCTGGCCAGGTTAATGAACTTTTAAGTAACGAGTCTGAGAAGAGACCATGACTAAATGAGAAATTGGGTGTGGTCAACCAGAATTTATTTGGGGGCTTCTCAATTGATACACTTAGGGCGCGTTCGGTTTGCAAGATAAGGTAGGATAAGATAAAATTATCCTGCCTTATCTTGCGTTCGGTACGCAGGATAAGGAATTTGATTCGGATAAAGATAAACATACATATCATGAAGAAATGAGATAAAATTATCATGGGGGGGGTGGGAGGTGGGATTACTTTATCCGGGTTTTATCAAAGTATAACTAAATATTTTTGGACAAAAATATCCCCTATAAACCTGTAAGATGACTAAAATGCCTATGCCCTGGATCATATACTTTTTTTATGAACAAAAATGCCTCATTGTAAACTTGATTTATTTTATCCCATGTCCTGTCCCCCGTACCGAACATAAGATAAAACTGCTCATCCCTATTCATCTAGAATAAACTGTATCCCACTTAATCCTTATCCCTCTCTCCTTTTCAATACAACTGAACATGCCCTAATAGAACGCATGGGGGAGAAGGTCCCAACACATTAGAGAAAATAGAATTTCCACATATCCCTTTATACCAAGGAATGGTAACTGAGACATTGTTGGAGAATAAGTGCTCTCAAGACCAATTGCTTTTTACCTTTAAGGATGACCATCTGCCCCTAAGTGTAATTCCACATGTAGCTATTAGAATTCTCACTTGCTGAGATAATGTGAATCCCATCTGAAGTGAAATATGCTGATGTTGGACTTCATTACAAAGGCCTGGAAGAGGAGATATAAGAGAAGACAAAGGGAAGGGGAAGAAACAATAAATCAGTAAAACAAAACATAATGTCAAGTAAGAAAAACAAAGGCTTAGAGTTGGGATAGTGTCAATAATAGGTTTGCAATACTCTGAAAATGTGAGTAAGGCCCTGTTTGGTCACCAGGTCTTTTATGTAAGAGGCTTTTAAGCACACAAGTCCGAGAATCCAAGATATTGTAGTTTCTTGGCCTTCTAGAAGGCCATAAGTCCAGAATACACAATATCCAGACCTTAGGGATTTTTGGGCTCAAAAGTTGAGTTCATGAGCCTCAAAACAAGGATATTGTAGCAATGGCCTAGAAGCTAAGAAGTTGCAATAACATTTTTGGGGCTTAAAGGCCGAATTCTTAAGCCCAAAAAGCTGGGGACCAATTAAATATATTCATGCATGCTAGATCAACAAATATTTTGATGTCATACAGTTCGGTCACCCTTATTGATCCCTTCCTATGCCATCTAATGCATCATCATAAGGAAACCAATGTATGATTTCTAAAAGCATATAATTGAATAAACCACCTTTATATTTGCAGATCACATCAATGCCATGAAGCATCCAGATTTGCAAATCAGCATAAGTAACTATTAATTTGTTCCGGTCACCTGGAGAGAACTGCAGATTGGAAACTATTGCATCATTAATAAATTAATTAAAGTGTTGGGGCTTAATGCAAA